TGATATTTCGATGTAGATTTAGATTCATCTATTTTTAGATTCATCTATATCTATATTATATATTTATATATATATATAAATTATCCCTGTATATAGTCCCACATTAACTCATCTCATACATGCTGGCTTCCTTTCCCCCGCACTCAGTAAAGTGTTATATGGCCACCTACGCGTCCGGTCCTTCACCTGGGTCACCGACGTAACTACACTAGACACTGAACGGACTGATAAACTACACAGCTCACTACTCACACGCTTTGGTATGTAGTTAGTAAGTGACCATGCAATGCTTACTTGTCACCTTGTATTACTATGTGTGTTTAATATACGTTGGACGGGTTGACCAACTACACAGCTCACTACTCACACGCTTTGGTATGTAGTTAGTTGGTGACCGTTTACTTTTTACTGGACGACATTCCAGTGCAGTATCTTCTACCTCTCTCTTATTTCCCGTAGCTATATCCACATGTCCTTGTACCGGTCCAATATAATCGTCCAGGTTGCTTAGCTGACCACTTTCTCACTCAACTTAAACCGAACTTTTATCTGCACTTACTCTAACGCGTACAGAGCCGCCGCTGCGATGTGTAGAGGCGGGCGGCGAATATATTATCAACGGCGATATCAATCTGGATAACGACACCAACATAAGGATAGTACGGCCAATCTCAGGTAGGAGTTCTAAAATACGTTTGTCACCTTCCAAATTACATTCATCACAGTACTCACTACGCTAAGCTACTTCCAATTCAACACCGGATAGTACCACTTTATTAGTATATTACATTCATCACAATACTCACTCCGCTTAGCTACTTCCAACTCAACACCGGATAGTACCACTTTATCAGTATATTACATTCATCACAATACTCACTACGCTTAGCTACTTCTAACTCAACACCGGATAGTACCACTTTATCAGAATATTACATTCATCACAATACTCACTACGCTAAGCTACTTCCAATTCAACACCGGATAGTACCACTTCATTAGTATATTACATTCATCACAATACTCACTACGCTTAGCTACTTCCAACTCAACACCGGATAGTACCACTTTATTAGTTTATTACATTCATCACAATACTCACTACGCTTAGCTACTTCCAATTCAACACCGCATGATAATACTGTATGTATCTGCTGCATCTCATAGTACCTATTTATTAATATAGTACATTTCCTCGGTCTATACTGACCACGCTTAGCTGCTTCCAACTCAACACCGCATGATAATACTGTATGTATCTGTTGCATCTCATAGTACCTATTTATAAATATAGTACGGTCTATACTGACCACGCTTAGCTACTTCCAATTCAACACCGCATGATAATACTGTATGTATCTGTTACATCTCATAGTACCACTTTATTAATGTAGTACATCTCCTCGGTCTATACTGACCACGCTTAGCTACTTCCAACTCAACACCGCATGATAATACTGTATGTATCTGTTGCATCTCACAGTACCTATTTATTAATATAGTACATCTCCTCGGCCTATACTGACCACGCGTTGCTTCCAACTCGACACCGCATGATAGTACTGTATGTATCTGTTGCATCTCATAGTACCTATTTATTAATATAGTACATCTCCTCGGTTTATACTGACCACGCTTAGCCGCTTCCAACTCAACACCGCATGATAATACTGTATGTATCTGTTGCATCTCATAGTACCTATTTATTAATATAGTACATCTCCTCGGTCTATACTGACCACGCGTTGCTTCCAACTCAACACCGCATGATAATACTTTACGTATCTGTGTCTGTATACGTTACATCTCCTCTGTCTACTCGTCTCCGCACGCCTTTGTGGGCCACAACCAGTGCCACGTGTACACCGTCGGGACGTTTGTTCTGCTGTGTCGCTGTGTTGCATGTTGCTGCTCTGTCTGCCTCTCACCCATATAGACAATACACACACAAATTGCCTCCCCCTGCCCCCCCCCCACATACACAACGCATTCTGACTGCCTGTTGTATCATCTGCGTGCATTACTCATGCAGGCAACATCCACGAGTTGTATGCCGTTACGGATACAGCGTTTCTGGACGTTCTGGGACCTCCATACGAAGGTAGGGAGTGCGGGTATAGACGAAGGCTGGACGTGGTTGTGTGCGGTGCTATGTTTGAATAAGTGTATAAGACTATTAACACGTCTAGTTGTTTCGTACATGTTTGTGCATACTTCGGACTAATTCGAACTCTTTCGGACTAATGTTGCATTAATACACTCGCATAAGCTTGGGTGAATTCTAGGATGTCTGTACCGTACATGTTTGTGCATAGTTCAGAGATGTTCGTTGTCCGGTGTAGTCCGTGGTAGCGTACCATTATGCGATATCAATCACTAGATAAACCGCACCTATTAAACCCTAAAACTAAACCCTATGAGCAGAGGGTGTGCGGGATTGCCACTACTACCGCGACCTAGGCAGAAGAGAAGTGGTGAAAGCCGCGGCCGAACACACAACCGACACACAGAAGTGCCGCACGACACAGATCTTCTCTCTGTGGAGCCCAGCCCATGTGGCAGGTAATACGAGTAGTATAAGTGCTGACGAAATAACGTCTGGTGGTGACGAAATAACGCGTGGGGATGACGCAATAGTGTCTGGGGAGGATAGGCCTGAGGATGGGGAGAGTGGACAGAGGTATAGGTATCTGGCCAATGTCGATGACGGTGACTTTGTCTGCCGATCTACACCGTATATAGGCTACAGACCAAAAGTGGACAATTGCTGAAATGAACGATATATATATATAGTAAACCGGTCTATACACCGTGTATGTAGCCGGCTACAGACCAAAATTGGACAATTACGGAAATAGACTTATGTATCTATAGTAACATTCGTAGACAATAAAGATCGATCTACATGGTATATGAGCTACAGACCAAAAGTCGACAATTACTGAATGGACTGCATATTTAGTAATAAAGCAAATAGTACTGGCAAAATTATGTTGTACTACATGGTATATAAAATTACTGAATGGACTGCATATCTAGTGATAAAGCAAATAGAACCGGCAAAGTGCTGTTCATACGTTACCCCTACTAGTTTCTTATGGAAGTACGTTTCTCCTACTAGGTTGTTATGGATGTACGTTTCTCCTACTAGGTTATTATTTGACGGGATTTTATACCGAGTGCTGTCAGTGACAAATGTTCGACAAAGTTATAATTGCGATGCATGGTACAACACAGAGTTCCGTGCGCCAATCCCTACCCTCCTAAAAATAGAACATCCTTATGTACTATAAATAGAACATACATTTGTACTAATAATAAACATTCACTTGTACTACAAAAAGAACATACATTTGTACTACAAATAGAACATCCTTTTGTACTAAAATAGAACATCTATTTGTGTCAAAAATAGGACATCCTCAAGACCTTCTAGAAGGAGAACAATGAATAGATTTATAGTAATGCGGTTGAACAAACTGGTCCTGACTTCCGGAGACATCCAAACTCATCATGGTTCATATTCCTTTATTCATATTTTCCTCTCTTGGTTTGAGGACGCTCGCAAGTCGCAGCATCAAGCGCGGTGAACGCGTAGTAGCTTCTGTCTCCAGTAGCGTTTTACAACAACAAAAACAATATATAACCACATCCTGATAGTCAGCCCGCATTTGCGACATGCCTCGATATTTACGACAGAGTTTGCGCCAGCTGGGGTGACGTATAGTAGATGATTATTACTGTACACTTTCGGCGAAACGGACCTCGCTGCGGCCTTGGTCGAAGACGGTGTAATCTGTTGAGAGAGAATGAGAGAATTTTAGGGTTTAGGGTTTCATCGACATGCACAGTCACTAGCTAGAGATGTTCAACTAAGTTCTTGGCCCAAAACACGGCACTTAAACAAACCGAAGCCTGAAACAATTGACTGAACCTATTGCAAACATGAGCAGATGAACCACATATATGCCTAGTTGTATACACTGTAAAAAACATAACAGCCTATCATTCATATACACTCTAAGAGGTAGTGTATGTTTACCCTATTTATATCAGAGTGTATATGAATGATAGGCTGTTACTACAGGTGATTATTCATTTACCTCTTAATGAGATAACACTATAACATACCCTGCAGGTTGTTCTTCATATACACTTATGATACACACTATGGTACACATACATTTGCCGATGAAGATATCTCCCAGAATCCACAGGCTGTTGGGTGTGGCTAGGCCAGAGAAACCACTGAGACAAGTCGTCTGTCCCATGGCAGACATCTTCACCACGTAGTCTTCAGGGCCAAGTGTGAATTTCTGCGGGAAGAATAGTGGTGCAATCATAAGAATAGTAATACTATATCTATATATATCTATATCAATAGCAATATCAATATCAATACCTATATATCTATATATCTATATATACATCTATATCTCTATATATATACATATATATATATATATATATATATATATAATCATATCCTATTGCAATATACCTTGCCAGCGATGGTGAAGGAGACCTCGGGCAGTCCCTCGAGCTTGTCACAGTCGAGTGTGGCCACTGGCCCCATGGGGGTTGCTCCTAGCATAGTGTTAATGGAGTTGACAACCTCTGGAGGTCCGGCAATGAGAGAAGTTCCGGTATCCGCAATGGCCTCGCATCCGTCCTTGCAGAACTCTTGGCTGTGTGTAGGGTTTTAGGGTTTTAGGGTGGTGTAGGGAGGGACGAGTGATAACAGGGTAGGTTGGGGGTGTGCGTAGGGTTTCTTTCTGAGACAAGAATAGGTAGTCAGAAGGTTTGGCAGGGTGGATAGGGGACCTGTACACAGCCGCACTTGTGAAGATGGAGCATGGAAACACTGATATATCAGATGCGAGTCTTGTACCATGCACGTATGGATATATGTATGCGTATGAAATAAGACCAAGAGCATCCACTCAGGACTGCCCTCATTCCTCCACGTCAGGAGCCCTAAATATATATATATGTGTATATCATGTATGTACGAAAACATACCCCTGAGACTCAAAGCCCTCCATGCTGAACTGCCAGTAGCCCTTTTTAGAGAGAGGTACTTTGTGAAAGTCTCCGGTGTAGCGGGAAGAGTCTACCCCACCGAATGTGATCTCGCCACCAACCTGGACGATTGTAGGGTTTGTCAAGATTAGGCAAGCATTTGATGAAGGTCAAGTAGTGTACATCCTAAACCTTAAAACCCAGAAGTGGTGTACATACACATCCACATAAGTGTATATAAAAATTACAGAAATCATCCAAGACATATTTGCGACACACTGGAAGAGACACATATCGAGCAAACGGCAAAGCGTCCGTAAAGCAAGTGCAGATTCAAACAACCACTGATGGAAGTACACGCTCGCATGCGTTAAATAACTGCACAGTATAACCATCTATCGCCAGGGCACGTTAAACGGATAACAAACGGATACACAAACTATACACTTGTATACAGATACCAATCTGTAAAAGTCTTGTATACAGATAACTAGCTGTACACACACACCCAACTTCACTTACGCATTCGATGTAATACGTACACACCTGTTGTCCCTTGGAGGGATCGATGTTGCGATTCATCCAGAACGCAAAGACAGGCTCCTGCACCAATTTTTGGGCAACCATGTTATCGAAGACAGGTGTCAGGTGGTCCACGGCGATGTTGTTGAAGCCCATACCCAGGATACCATCGAACTTGGCAGCCACAAAGGTTAGTCCGGGCTCGTTAATGGCCTGTAATATAGCGGAGGAAGGGTGTGAGTCGGGAGTACGGTTCTTAGTCCAACTTGGTCAGTCTAAGTGCGTGCGGGCTTGTGGGTTAAATATTATCCTAGTTGGTTCAATTGAGTATGAAAAGCCTACAATCCAGTACACCAAAAAAGTCGCACAACGACCGTGTATTTTAACCGAGGGCAATGGGCACTAATGGGATAACATCCGTAGAGGATATATGTATAGCGTGAATTTATAATTAAGGCTCCGATCACTTTAGTTCGAGCCTGAAATTACCACTCAACTCCAGAGTACTATTCTATTTAAAGCACATACCTCAGCAAAGGACTGTCCCTTGATATTGAACTCGCCAATGGACACATCATCCGTAGACACAAACCCGTCGAGTGAACCTGTACCATACTGGATGGCAAAGGGTGTACCGTCTTTCGTGTAGGTGCTGGACTTAGTGGAGTCGTACTTGCTGTGTAGCAGACACGCGATATTGGTCCACGAGCACTTCCTGAGATGAGATGAGATGGATAGGATGGGTATGGTGAAGTGAGCGAGAATTAAATAATACAGCACGGGACACATTTTTTTCAGATAAGAATAGTACACTTTACCGGTTAGAATGATTAACTTAAACTCTACAGTACTATATGCATGTGGAGATAGCACACTACGAACATATGGAGATACATTCGTTGAACATACACTCTTTCAGTTGGTGAAGATTTTCACTCCATGTATAC